TAGCACACGTCAGTGGTTGTTAGCCATCATTTTTTTTGAATTTTTTGAGTTTTTTTCAATTTTTTTTAGATGTTCCAAATCTTTTGTTTCTTTAAGAAGTAAAAATCATTACAGAAGGTTTTGATCAGGACCTACATTACGAAAGGGCTACTCATATATAGTGGCCATTGGAAGCTATTCTTTAAATTTCTATATAGTATAAGTTGATACGTACTCCTTTATAATGTATGATACAGTGGCAAAACCACATCACGAACTCCCTCTTGCCAGGGTCAAAAGAGTCATGAAATCTGATGGACAAGTCAAGGTAAATCTGCACATTCATCGATTGATATGCAAAACCCTTTTTATAACTTATTTATTTTTAGGGTTATTTATTCAAATGGTCCTCAAATTTATACCCGAGTTGCATTTTGGTCTTTTAACTAAATTTGGTCCACCAACTCTATATTAGTCGGGGAATTGGTCCAACTGTTACATTCTGTCAATGTTGCCGTCAAATATAAGGGTAAAACATTTCAGTTAAATAAAATACTAAATAAATTAAAAACTAAAAATCAAAAGAAAAAAACTTCTCTCCCTCTCCCACCTCACAGCCCCTAGCCCGATAACCATCGCCCCAGCATCCCATATTCTCCTCCCCGCACCCCACCCTCTCTGTCCCCTCCTCCTCTTCTCTCCCTCTATCTCTCTCTTCCCCCTTTCTCTCTTAAAACAAACCTAGACCCCTGTAGGAGCATCCGCATCCCCTCTCTCTCTCTCTCTCTCTATTTAGGAAACTGAAGGCTGAGGGGAGAGAGAGGAAGAGAGGGACAAAGTGAGAAAGAGAATGGGAGAGAGGTTCGGTGGGCTGGTTTTTTTGTTTTTTTTGTTGTTTTTTTTTTGGGTTACTTTTTGTTGTTGTTGTTTTATTCTTTTATAGTTTTTAATTAATTTTAAAAATAAAGAAAATTTTGTATTAATTTTCAACCATATATTTAATTTCAGAAGTTATCAAAAGTCTTATTTACCCCCCACAAATGTAGCATGTGCTGCTCACATGACTAAATTTAATAGAAAATTTAACGATAGGACCAATTCATCGATTAATAAAGAGTTGGTGGACGATTTGAACGAATAATTTAGTTGAGGAACCAAAATGAGAAAATTTAACGATAGGACCAATTCATCGATTAATAAAGAGTTGGTGGACCATTTGAACGAATAATTTAGTTGAGGAACCAAAATGCAACTCGGGTATAAGTTTGAGGACCATTTGAGTAAATAACCCAGATTTTTAACTTTTAATTAGAGAGTAATGTTTAAAAAATGTTAACTTGAGAGTGTGTTAATTTGCTTTGCAGATGGTGAGCTCGGAGACTCCAGTTTTGTTTTCGAAAGCATGTGAGCTTTTCATTATGGAGCTCACACTTCGTTCATGGCTACACACTGAAAGAAGCAAGAGGCGTACGTTGCAGCATTGTGACACTGCCAGGGCAATTATGCAGGATGACCTTCTTCACTTTTTATTCGACCATACTCATTGCCATAAGGTGTTTCTTCTTAAATATTTGCTTGTCTATTATTTTCTTAGTTCGCATGCATAACACCTTTATTAAGTAAAACTCGTCCAAGAACATATATAAACGAGTATATTTTTGGGCTTATAACTTTAATGGTAGAGCACTTATCCCACATCCATGACTATATTTGACTCTTCATTGTCCTCCTTTCCTCATAAATAAAAGGATATATAATTCAATCATATTTAGTATGTGTATATGATTAAACTTGGAAAGGCAATATGAAAATTATAATTATTTCTCAGGAAGAGGAGATTGGAAAAATTTCTCGAAATGTTGATTCTGGTTCTACTACTGGAGCATTGCGTGTTCTTGAGACAAACCAGCTCGGTGGGGTGAGTGTTTAAGAAACACGATTACAACATCCTCTCGCCTTTTCCTCTAGCTAAGTAGATCTATGAACCCCATACACTGTTTGTGTGGGTTTGTATATAAAAACTAAATGATAAACTTGTCTCCTTAAAATTGAGGAAGAGCTCCTCCTTAAAACAAATGGAGTTTTGACACTGTCAAATTTCTTCAAATGTTTTTCTTTTGAATTCCTTTAACTTTTTTGTTGGAATTTAACAAGTGTCAAAATCTCATTTGTTGTCCCATCAAGTTTTTGTTTGTATATAGATTTTTTGACTGATTTTATTGATTAGGGTTTGGGAGAAATGGATCAAGTGATTCAGCAATACATGATTGACCCATCAATGTCCTCCGCTGAACTCCATCGTGACTATTTTGAAGGTGACAAATTGCACTTTCTTCTCTTTCTCCTCCATCTTATATATATGCAAACTAACCACGATGAATTTATTTATTTTTCTTCTGAATAAGATTATAAAAAATGCAGATGATGAATGATTAAATTCCGTTTCTGCTAGCGGAATTAGAGCTGTTCTCATAGACCACCTGGATAGGAAATTTTATTTTAATTTAATTCCTAGATTTACGAGTTGAGTTTGTTATTGTATGACGGGGTGCAGCAAAGTGATGAAGTGAAGGTGTTGAATTCAATATGGTGGAGATTGAAGATTTCGAAGAACAGTATAAAGCATGGAGGTTGGGGGCCTTTCCAAGCCACGGGATGTTCAATGAAAATCCCTTCTGCGTCTCACTGGCAGGCAGCGATGCACGAAGAATATACAGCCCTTATGAAGAACCAAACTTGGTCCCTCGTTCCTCCTACACCAACCATGAACGTCGTGGGCTGTAAATGGGTTTTCAAAGTCAAGCGAAAAGCCGATGGCACTATTGAAAGACACAAGGCACGCTTAGTTGCCAAGGGCTTTAATCAAATGGAGGGCCTTGACTATGATGAAACATTTAGTCCTGTTGTCAAGCCAGCTACTATTCGCACTATCTTAACTATTGCTCTTTCCAGGAATTGGCCCTTGCAACAACTTGATGTTCGTAATGCCTTTCTGAATGGCATCTTACAGGAGGAGGTTTATATGAAGCAGCCCCCAGGTTTTGCTGACCCTCTTCGCTCCAAATATGTCTGCAAACTCCACAAGGCACTCTATGGCCTTAAACAGGCCCCCCGTGCATGGTTTCATCGACTTCATTCTTTTTTAATTCATCAAGGATTCTTCCATAGTCAATCTGATGCTTCACTTTTTATTCGTCATACAACCTCTCATACTCTTTATGTCCTTGTGTATGTTGATGACTTAATTGTAACAGGTAGTACTCTTCCTGCAGTTAACAAATTCATTGATGATTTATGTTCAACCTTTGATAGTCGCAGGCTGGGCGAGCTCAATTTTTTTCTTGGCATGGAAGTTTGTCGCACCAATGGCTCTCTATCAATCTCTCAAGCTCGCTATGCATCTGACCTTCTCACCAAATTTAATATGGCAGCATGTAAACCAAGTCCCACACCACTGCTCTCCTCCACCAGACTCTCTGCAAATGATGGTGATCCGATCTCTGACCCCACACTGTATCGTAGCATGGTTGGGGGCCTCCAGTACCTCACTCTATCTCGTCCCGATATCGCTTTTGCCGTGAATCAAGTGTGCCAATTCATGCATCATCCATGTTCCACTCACCTCCAAGCTGTTAAAAGGATCTATCGCTACATTAAGGGCACTCTTGAGCATGGCCTTCTCTTTCGTGCTTCTGCTGACCTCACTTTGCGAGCCTTCTCCGACTCTGATTGGGCCGGCTCCATTGATGACCGCCGCTCTACTACAGGGGCATGTGTTTTCCTTGGTCCTAATCTCCTCACTTGGACCGCTAAGAAACAATCTACCGTATCCCGCTCAAGCTCTGAAGCCGAGTATCGCGCACTTGCTACCACTGCAGCTGAGCTTCGTTGGTTTGGCTACTTGTTTCGTGAGTTGGGTATTCCTCTACGTTCGCCTCCATGTATCTTCGTCGACAACATATCTGCTCTCCACATGGCAGCGAATCCTGTCTTCCATGCTCGTACCCGCCATATTGAAATCGACTATCATTTTGTTCGCGAGTTAATTTCCCAAGGTGTTCTTCA